CCTGAAGAAGTTGACGCACTGGCTGCATAGGTAGAAATGATTACCCTGGGTTCGGAGAAACGTGGTTGTCAACCCTACAAATGTAGACTGTGTCTCTTATTTTCTTTGAGAGGAGGAGTCTGGTCAAGGGGTCTGTGTAATGAATGATGTGGGCAGACTCTGTTTCCATTCTGCCTGAAGCTGTCTGCTTTGTATCTATAATAAACAGGGATGTCTGCAGCCATGTACCTGGGTCTGGCCTGTTACAGGCGCTCACTGCAGGGAAAGGTAAATCGACGCCTTCCCAAGCAATGAGCATCTACAGGTTACATCTGCCATGAGGGGTCTTCACCTTCCTGGCTTGCCTTCCTTTCTGCATCTCTGTGATGGCCTATAACAAATGGGCTGGGTGATGGCCACACTGAGACAGAACCGAGAGCATGTGGGCATTGGCCTGTACCACACTCTCTGCAAGTGAGGAGCAAGGTGCGCCATTGAAAAGGCCTCCTTCCGGAGACTGAGATCACCAACCTTCACCAGGCAGAAGGGCCAGGGGCAGCAGGCGCCATCCTGTGGTTCCCTGCTGTACCCTCCTGGGAGCACGTGAGTGTTCTTTCTGAAACAAAATCTGAGTAAGGCAGGCTCCAGGTTAAATCCTTCAGACTACACCTTACCTGTAGAAGGTCTAAGCTCCGCAGTGCCTGCAGCCTGCAGGATCTTCGCTCCTCAGCCTCATGCGTCAGCTCATGCCTACACGGGTGACACCTCATTCATTTCCCACGCTCAGCTGCTTTGTTGTGGATTCCAAGCCACGTAGCACTGCTCCCCATGCCTCACTCGGGCTTCATTGTCCTCCTCACCTTCTCAGTTCCTACTCCCCTCCCACCGCAGCTCAAAGGCTGCTCTGAGGCACTGCCCGTAGATGCTCTGACAAACCAGCACACACGTAACGGCGGGAAACAGAATGCTCCTCTGTGCCTTGAGGAAGAGGCACGGTGAAAAGCAACGACATTTCTGTGGTTGAGGAGAAGAAAGTGAGCGTGTGTAACAGGACAGCGTTAGCATGGTGGGAGGGGAGGGCATAGGCTACATATTCCAAGGAGAAAACCTTGCAATTGGATGGTCGAGATAGCAGGGTGAGGGCGCTGTTTCATGACCAGGTTCGCAGAGGAGTTGGGTGAAATGCTGGGTGGCTTACTGTTAAGTTGGGAGGCGTAAGATGAAGAGGAAGGAGAGCCCAGAGGTAGCCTGGGAGAGCTTTGTTTCCCTTCTAATGGGAAATCCCAGGAAGAAATTCTCAACTTGAATCCTCCAGCGGCAATTATTATCCACTCGGTGGGCCTCCATTGAATGCTTATTGATGAGTAGCCTTTTCCAAAGCAAATGTCTCCCGTCCTTATTATTAGTATTAGATGAGGTGGGCAGATGGAGCTCTTTTATCACACACATCTTGCCTTGTGTCTGATGAGGTTTAAACCAGAATTCAGTTTATTCTCCTGGTGGACCCCTGGGGTGAGTCTGTTTCAACCCTTGATGTGCGTTTCTCTTCCTTTGCTTGGGAGGGCTCTGAGTTCAAGTCAGCTGAAGTACACAGTTGGTGGCGGTGTGCACTACCCTCCTTACTGAGCCTGGAATGCGCATGCGCTGGGTTCTCGCACCTGAGATGTGGCTGGGAAGGATTGAAAAGCAAGAAATGAAAGAGAAGCGAGGCACGTAATAGGGCTCATCAAGTCTTCCCAACATCACACTTCACTGCCCCTGGCGCCACCATTCAAACCTCCTCGTTTATAGCTTGTGGAAGCCTTTGGAAAAATGGACCACAACCCCAGGTTGCCTGAGGTGCTGCCATTGCAAGTTGCAATAGCTCTAAAAATTTAGGTTTTTGTCAAAATGAAATAGAACATTGAAAGACTTCCAAGTAGTTGGGAAAAACAGCCGCCCTCTTCAAATGCACTCTGCAGGATGCTGCTCTTGTGAGCAGCTCAGCAGACCCTGGAAATAATATCTCAGTAAACCCCTCCACCTCCTCGCCAGGAAGAAGCGAGCTGCAGTTCAGCAGCGCCTACCCTGCTTTCTTCATGGGCAGCAGGAGGGGCTGTTGCTGCTACCTTGAATGAAGCTTAGAGAGCCGGTGCTAAGCCAAGGCCGAGTGCCTACAGCTTCACACTGTGGCTCAGAGCACATCCAGAACAACTCCTCTGAGCTTTAGGCCTCTCCACTGCCAGAAGGCAGGTCTGTTGACCAGCTGGCCAGTGCCCTGCTTCAGCCTCTGCTGAGTCCTGCTCTGGGCTGGGCTCTACTTACAGTTGAGATTCAGAGACAAGAATAACACCATCCACCTCTCCTGTGGCTGGGGTGTAGGAAACACACAGGAGCACTTTTTGTTTCAGTAGGGCTATGGCATGTGACTTACTGGAGATAAATCAGAGATCAGCTGACCCAAGGTAGGTGTCACAGATGCCATCTCAGCAGCCTTCAATACACTCAGCTCCCAGAAAGTTGTAGCCTGAACTCTGTGCCAGCTGCTGCAGATTAACTAATCTAATGCCCAACCCCGTTTTCCTTGACGCTTCTTACTGGACGAGCTTGGAGGCTAAATACCTGCCTGTCCAGCCTCCCTTGCAGCTCTGGCCAGTGAGACAAAAACAAAATCTACAGTGTGGCTTCTGAAACAGTGCTTGTGTTCTGATTCAGAGGGACAGCCAGTCTGGTAGAGCTCCTTGGTCCTTTGGTGTGCAGTGATTGAGGTCTGATGGCTATAGCTGCAGCAATAATCTTGTGACTATGAGGGGAATGTTCAGAGCTTTCAGCCCGTGATGCAGTGCATCAACTGTCTCCTTTTACACTTTGGTTATGTGAGAAACGGATGGACTCTGTCTAAGCCCTGCAGTTATACTTCTGGGACCTAAAGCCAAATGCATCCTGAACTAATACAGAACCGCATAGGCAGTCAATAAATAGCGATTGAAATCATAAATAATGTGATCCTCTGAGCCAAATCTTAACAGATTGGGATGTTCTGGTTGGGGAAAACCAAAATACACACATGGAAGCTCAAAGCGGGAGGCTAGGGGTAGCTCAGGAAGAACGCACTGACAGGTATTCCTTGTCGCTGCTGTATAAAGTAGGAGGCAGTCAGTGACTGGAGACAAGCCTGGAAAATAGAACACAGGGACGGGGTTAAAACTTTTTTTAAACCAGGCATGGTAGTGCACTCTGGAAGGCTAAGGCAGCAGGATCACAAGTTCAAGCCCAGCCTAGGCAACTTAGCAACTGAGTGAGACCCTGTCTCAATATAAAATTTAAAAGCAAAACAAAACCCGGGGCTGAGGACATAGTTCAGTACAATCTTAGGTACAGAGAGACTGAGAATTCTCCCTGTTATCTCCAAAGAGGACAATTACAGCCAGGACCACCCTGGCAACAGGCATGAGAGGGAACGAATGCATTCCCCTATGGGGCACTGTGTTAGTTACCTGTTGCTGTGTGATGAATTACCCCCAATTGTGGCAGCTCAGAACAACGCATTTATGATTTGTGTCTATTATCTCAGCTCATTCCACAGTTTTTGTGGGTCAGGAATCCAGATAGAGTGAACTGTCTCTGCCAGCTCAGTCTCACCCCGCTGTGCCCAGTGCTCACAGGGCTGCTGCCGCACCTGAAAACATGGCCTCGGGAAGATCCGCTTTCACACTGACGCACAGTTGCCGGCCAGTTCAGGCCCTCCTGGCTTTCGCCAGCAAGGCCTCCCTTGGTCCCATGCTCCCCGGCCTCTCCAAGGGCAGCTCACAGCGCGGCAGTTGACTTCATTAGTGTGAGTGAGAGAGAGAGCCAAAGAGGTGAGCCAGACTTTGTGTAGCTTTATCTCCAAGGCAATGTCCCAACATTCTGTGTTCATTCAAAGTAGGTTACTAGGCAAAATCCAAACTGAAGAGAAAAAATTATGAGTGCCAGATGGCGAGGGTCACTGGATACCATCTTAAAGCTGCCCACCACAGACGCACTGCCATCTCCTTCTCCCTTGTCAGGGTCATTTTGCAGATGAGGAAACCAAGGCTCAGAGAAGGGCTGTGACTTGTCCTAGACATCAGAGCCACCAAAGGGCAGAAGTTGGGGTCAGAGCAGCCAATCCCCAGCACAGCTCTTCCCCACTACCTCCAGGGAGCGTGCTGGAGGCAGGAGAGCTTCATGGGGACCGCAACCCAGAGTGAGAGAGGGCTCTGCACCCTGAGTGCTCTGATCCAGGTGAAGGACAGTGGATGAAGTCAGAATAAGGTCTATTCTCCAAATAGTCCTGTAACAGTGTTAACCACTGGATCCTAATCATTGTTGTGTAGTTGTGTAAGAAAATGTCTTTGTTCTTAGGAAACACGTGCTGAAGTATGTAGAAGTAAAGAGGTATCATGTCTACAACTTAGGCTCAACCACTTTAGGGAAAATTACCTGGAGGCATTTATAGTGCGTGTGTGCATGTGTGTGTGTGTGTGTGTGTGTGTGTGTGTGTGTGTGTGTAGGAAGAATGATGGGTGGTTCAGTGTGCCAAGCAAGTGTGGTTAAATGGTAACATTTGGAGAATACAGGTAAAGAGTATATTGTAATTCCCTGTACATACTTTTTGTAACTTTTTATGTGTCTAAAAGTATTGCAAAATGAAAGATTTTTCAAAAGTGAAGTCTACTCCATATAGGTCTAGCATAGATCTATTTGGACCATCAGAGATAACATAATGGGCATCTTGCAGATTCCTTTTGAGCCTGGGCTCTGACAGCTGCTGAGTCCCAGTCCTGGCCCAGAAGGTTTTCAGGTCACCACTTGGGGTTATCAAAAAGATTTGACAAAAGAAGGCACATACCTCAGTACAGCGCTTAGCATAGTCCCTGACCCACAGTGAACTTTCCATCAACACTGTTATTCCTATTACCTCTGCAGTCATCTTCCAAGTAAGGTATGGTGAGTGACCAAGGTGGTTTGGAGACACCATCTCAGAACCAGCTCCCTGACCTGGGTTTTTCTCCCCACAGAGGCAAGGTGGCCACTGCAGGGGATGTGGATGTGCCTGACAAGATGAAGAACCGAATACCTGTGGTGCTTCTGGCCTGCGGCTCCTTCAACCCCATCACCAACATGCACCTGCGTTTGTTCGAGGTGGCCAGAGACCATCTACACCAAACAGGTCAGTCAGGGGCCCCGAGGCCAGCAGACCTGGTGGATGGGCCTCACGGGGCTGTGCTGGCCGCTGTTCTTATCACCAGCAGTAAAACCGTTCGGCTGACTTGTTTCTTGTGAAGCTTGTGGCGTATACTCCCTCCATCATGTGCAGAGGGTTGATGCCCCTTGGCTGTGAGACGTCTGCAAGTCATGTCCCTGGCCATAGATGCCCCTTCTTGTCCACCTCACACTCTCTGTGAAGCCTAAAGGCCATTTGTGGAGCCTGCCTCCGTCAGGCCTGCAGTGCCCCAAGCATTTACCTGCACCGCCAGGTGGGCAGGTAGCACACACCTCTGAACACTCTGCTCCTCCTCAGTGGGTAAGCAAATGTTTGATGATGGTGATTTTGACATTTTCACCTTTCAAAGAATAGATCTCAGACTGTTATAAATTAATAATCTTGTGTATGGAGCATTTACAGTACGTACAGCCTGACTTCCCCAGAAATACTTAATTAGCTAGAAATATATAATCTGAGAATGTTTTATCACCTTCTCTCTGTGTTTCATTATTAAAGGAGCAAAACAGTATTTAGAACCTTATGATTATTTCTAAAGATTATAAGTTATTTATACTGTTTCTTAATGTCAGATATTTATGAAAAATTTTCCCTAGTATGAATTTGTGTACTTTATGTATTCATGAATATATTATATATAATTCAAAAATTTTTTGCCTTTAAGGGCATTGTTTTACATCAGAATCAATTTCTATTTACCTTTATAGAGAAAGAAGTATTTTAATAAATGTAAATCATTTCCTCAGAGAAGTCACATGTAAGTAAGTGTTAGTTTTTTTAAAGGAAATGCATTTGTTTGCAAAACTTTTTAATTATTGAAAAAGTGAATATCTATTCTTAGTAAATAAATAGTTTCTTACTAGAGAATTTTATAATAAATCCAAACAATACAGTTAAAATTGTTCAGTGGATAATAGTAGGTAATATGCCAAAGAAGAAATATAAATAGTCAGTAAACTTGGGGACAGATATCCCACATCAATGGCAATCAATGACAGTGTAAATAAAAATGTAACAGATGCCACCAGGCTATAAACACCATGAGGGCAGCTACTGTAGCTGCCTGAACACCACAGAATCGCTACCATCTGTCACTGCTGGTAGTAAACATCAGTTACAAGAGACAGTAGTGTCAGCCTATGAAACTGGCAGAAATGAAAAACCAGCAGACTTCAGTGCTGCTAGAATAGGGAGGGAGCCAGCCACCCTCACCTACTGGTGGTGATAAGATAAATGATGAAACATTTTTGGAAGGCAGTTTGGTGTTCTGTGACAAAAGGTTTTGAATCTGTAGCCACACTCACAATGAGGAGAAAATCAATCAACAGAAACCAGAGCAGAACTGACACAGGATGACACAGATGTTAGAATCAGCAAAGCAATGAATACTTATAGTTATGCACCATATGTTCCAAAAGTTAAGTAAAGACACAGAAAGCTTAAAAGGGACCCAAATCAAACTTCTAGAGATGTAAACTCTAAAGTGTGACATGAAAAATATACCAGGTATATTGGACAGATTGGACATTACAGAAGAAAAAGTTAGTGAACATGAAGATAAAACAAAGGAACTATCCAAAATGGGGTACAGAGAGAAAAATTTTAAAACAGAAAGAATATCAATGATATGTGATTACCTTAGACAGCTTTATACATGTGTCACTGGAATCCCAATAGGAAAAACAAAAAGAGAGGGGAAATTTTTTTTGAAGAAATAATAACTGAAATCTTTCTGGAATTGATGAAAATGACCCACTGATCCAAGTAGCTCAGTAAACCAAGACCACAAAAAGCACAAAGGAAACAACACCAAGGCATGTGATAATCACATTTCCCAAAACCTACACTAAGGCAGACTCTTAAAACCAACCACCAAAAACAAATGTAAGGATGACAGCAGATTTCTATCCCTACCTTCACCAAAAGAGAACTTGGTGAAATAACATCTTCAAGGAGCTGAAAGAAAAACTGCCGACCTAGAAATCTATTGATAAAATACTTCCTATGGAGTAAAATACCTTCTCTTCAGTAAAACAAAGTCATTCGAAAACAAAAGCAAAGAAAATACAGGGTAATTTTAAAATGTGCAGTTTGATTATGTTTGAATTATGAAATTTTCTTCAGATATGATAAGCCATGGCATTCCGGTTGTGCAACATTAAAAAAAAGCAAAAATATTTTTACATCAACAAGAGCTGAAGAAACTCATCATCGTTAACTTTCACTCAAAGAACAAAAAAAGTAAATTCTTTCAGGCAGAAGAAAAATGATGCCAAATAGAAATTTGGATCCACACAAGGGAATTGCGAGCACTGGAAATGGTAACCACATGGGGTGTAATAGAGTATTATAGAAGCTTTTTCCTTATTATTTAAATTTATTTAAAAGGTAATTGACAGCTTAAGTAAGAATTATACTGTGGGGTTGTACGATCTATGGAAGTAAAATACATAAAAGAATAGCATATGGGCTGGGAGGGTAAATGGAACTATACTATATGTAAATGGTATAATATCACTTGAAGATGAACACTGATAAATTAAAGATATATATTATAAACCCTAAAATAACAAAGCAAACAGTTACAGTTAACAAGCACATAAGGGAAATAAAATAGGTTGAGAATATACTCAGTTAATTTAAAAGAAGGAGATAACAAAAAATAGATGTGACAGTTGGAAAGCAAATAAGATGAGAGGCTTAATCCTGTTGATAATCAAATTAAATACTGAGTCTGATGAATTCCAGTAAATGGAGGATTGGCAGACTGGATGACATGAGCAAGACCTGGCCATGCACAGCATCTCCAGGTCTGCTGGGAATATGTTCCAAGGCTGCCTGAAACCACAGGGAGAACCAGACTCTCTGTACTGTGTTTTCCTATACATATGCACCTATGATAAAAATGAATTTATAAACTAGGCCTAGTGAAATATTTACAGCAACTCCTGAAAAGTGAAACAATTATAACAATATATTATAACAAAAGTTATTTATGAATTGTTTCTCTCGTGAATTTTCCACTTAACATTTTCAGTTCACAGTTGACCTCAGGTAACTGAACTGTGGAAAGAAAAATTGCAGATGAGGAGGGACTGTGTATGAGAAGCATGCTTTAAATATAAAAACACAAATATATTAAAGGAAAAGGATAGAAAATCCATGCTTGATAATACTGATTAAAAGAATGCTGGAGTGGCTCATGAGATAAAGTAGATTTGGAGGAAAGAACTTTCCCAGGGATAAGAAGGTCATTTCATAATCATAAACTTATGAATCTAGATTCAGAAATCTTGAATGAAATATTTCAAAACTAATCCAACAATGCATATAAAGGTAATATTTCATCATCAGGTAAGATCATCTTAGAGATCCAGGGTAGCTTAACACTGAAAAATTAATCATATAATTCAAATTTAACAAACTAAAACAGAAAAACCACTATAGTTATCTCAGTAGACATGGGAAAGACATTATCAAAAGCTAACATATGGGGCTGGCGTTATAGCTCAGTGGCACAAGCACTTGTCCAGCAAGCGCAAGGTTGTAAGTTTGATTCCCAGTACCAAAAAAAAAAAAAGCTAACTTATATCTATAAGGGAAAAAAAAAAAATGCAGCAAGATAGCAATAGGAAAAAAACCTCTTTAACACATGAAAAATCTTACTAATTTTGAAAGACTTCATACTTTATTTTCTAAGACGAGAAGCAAAATAAGAATGTTTGCCCTGGGCATGGTGGCCACTCCTATAATCCCAGCACTCGGGAGGGCAAGGCAGGAGGATCACCATGAGTTCCAGGCCAGTCTGTACCACGTAGTGATCCAGCCAACCTGAAGTACAGAGTGAGACCTTGTTTACCCTTATTATTTTTGTTCAGCATTGTTTTCGAAGTTCTAGCCAAAACAATATGACAAGAAAAAAGAAATAAAAGCCATCAGATTGCATGGAAAAATGAAATTCCACTTGCAGATGAAATAATAATCTGTAGAGAAAATTCACAGCAATCTTTTTTTAAAGCTTCTAGAATTAATAGGCATGAGCTGGATACACAATATGTAAAAATCAATTGTATTTCTACATACTAGCAACAGTGTTATAAAGGGAAATTTTAAACAATGCCATTAAATAGCATTTAAAAAGAAATAACGTAGGGATAAATCTGACAGAGATGTTCAGGACCCTACAATAAAAACTCTGAAACATTGTTGAGAGAAATTAAAAGCATCCTAATTAAAATGGAGAGATACACTTTATTATATCTGGGTAGGAAGATGCAGCAAGGTTAAGATTTCCTTTCTCTCCAAATATATTGTCAGAGTCAATATAATTGAATCCCAGTTAGTTTTTGGTAAAGATTGATAAGCTATTTCTTAGAAATGAGTAAGACTAGAATAGCTGAAATAACTTTGGAAAAGCACAATGTTGAGGGTTAACACTGAGTTCAAAACTAATTATAAAGCTACCACACTCATGACAGTGTTGCATTAGTGTAAAGATAAATAGACTAATGGAACAGAATAGAAAGTACCAAATTAGACCCTCACTTACACAGGCAACTAATTTTTGACAAAGATGCAAAGCCAACACAGTGGAGAAAAAACAGCCTTTCTATCAAATGGCACTGGAATAACTGGATATTAATATGCAAAAAAATTTCAGTCCACAGATAAAATGACATCATATGTAATAATTAACTCAAAACAGATCATAAACTTTAATGTAAATCCTAACAGTATAAAACTTCTAGAAAAAAATAGAAGAAAATGTGATCTTAAGATTTCTTAGATAAAGACCAAAAGTGTGATCCATAAGGTAAAACAATTGATAAACTGGATTTCATCAAAATTAAATGACGCTCTTTAAAGACAGAGTTAAGAGAATGAAAAGACAAACCACAGTCTGGAAGAAAAGATTTTCAAAGCATAGATTTGATAAAGGACTGGTG